CTATTGGTCAAGATATGTTTTGATTTTGATAATAGTTATTTTGTCGTTTTCGAGTATTATGATTTCATCGACATATATGAGGAGGAAATATATGTAGCTTTATCCTTGGAAATGAAAAGATACTGATCTGCTCAGGAATGTTTAAAATCGAATTTTTAGAACTGTCCTCACAGTAACTAACTTGGCCATCGGCGCAAAAGTTTCATGAAACTTATGCCATCAATCTATGTGAATCCCTTCATTACCAATCTTGCTTTGTAACGCTCTATCTATCCAGCTAACTTGTATTTAATCTTGTAGACCCACTTCGAGTCGATGGATTTCTTCCCAAGTAGTAGGTTAGTCAATGTCCATGTGTTATTTTCTTCAAGCATCATTATCTCTATTTTCATCGTTGCTGGATTTTTCATTGCTTGATAGTAATGCTTAGGCTCGTCTTGAGTAGATATGGCCATTATAAAAGCTTTGTGACTATTAGTGAAATTTTTATAGGTTAAAAAATTAGATAAAGGATGTATCGTTGAGGTCATTGCATTGGCATTTCGAGAAGAATGGTATGTAGAAAAGGGGCAATTCAACTTCGGATTCATCAAGTATTTGTGGTTTTGTTCTAACTCTTCCTAGTCTTTTACTTTGTTCTGGTTCTACTTGAATCGTGACAGTTTGGTCACGATTGTGATTTTGATTTATGTTGTCGCTAATGTTTGATTCATGACAAGTAGTGTTTGGCTGAGGAATTAATGGAATGCTACTAGGAGGTGGATCCTGAGAGCATGTGGGTCAAGTTTGTGGGTTGTTTTCTTGAGCAAAGGATGGCCCATTTTTCTATGAATTAGGTTGTAATTCTTCAACATGAGTGCGTTGTAGTGAAACAAAAGTTTCCTTAGTAGGAGCCCCTTCTAAATCTTCTAGATGTGGAGATATGACAGTAGCAGTGGCTTTTTGTTGAGCATTATGTAAAGGAAATTTACACTCAACAAACTTGACATCTCTTGATACAATAATTTTACCATCGTTTAAATAAAAAAAATGTATCCTTTTTCCCCTTGTGGATAGTCGATAAAAATTCCAGACCTACCCCTTTCTTTGAAATTATCTTTGCCACTGTTATTTTCTTTGACATATATCGAGCTCCTGAAAACTCGCATGTGATCTTATTTCGGTTTCTCCAAGTAAAATTTCATATGGAGTCTTGTTCTTAATTGCTCGAGAAGGAATTCTACTAATGATGTACGTGGTAGTCAACACGCATTCTCCCCATAATTTTATAGTCAATTTTGCTTCAAAACGTAAAGCCCTTGCAATTTTTAAGAGGTGTTTATGTTTTCTTTCAACCACATCATTTTTTAGGGTGTATATATGCACATAGTTTTAAGAACAATGTCATTCATTTCATAAAACTCCATCATTTATTTAACACAAACTCACCGCCATTGTCACTTATAACTTTCTTGATTCTTTTTGTAAATTATGTCAACACCATGTTATAGAAACCAACTAGACAAGAGCTTGCATCAGATTTATTATTGATTAAATAGACCCATGTCGATTTATGAAAATCTTCCACTATTGTAAGAAAATATTGTGCTCTAATAATTATGGAATGCGATATCCACCCCAAATGTCACAGTGAATAAGATCAAAAAAATTAATTTTTTATGAAACTTTTGGAAAAAGGAAGTCTAGTTTGTGTAACACAAACATAAGAATCACAATGTCAATGTGAACTATGCTACCTATAGTATATATTTTGTAATTTGACACTGAACGCATAACCTAATCTTATAATACATGTCTTGGAATTGAACCTGACAACCATGGCTTCATGCCTTTTATCTTTTACTTCCAAGTCGTATCGACCATTCTCACTTCTCCCCATACAAATTCATCGCCTATAATTCATGTATATAAACAATAATCCATAAAAAAATTTATAAAAAAATTAAAATATTTGGTTATTTTTCTAACACATATTTCAATCAACATTTGGTATATAAAGGACGTTGTCAATTTCCATGTTGTTAGGAAGAACCACACTTCCAAATCCTTCAACGAGAACATTATCTCTGTTTGGAATTCTAAGGGGTATCCCGTCTTTTGAATCCTTCAAGTTAATGAGGGAAAGTTTTTTCACATTCTACTTGTTCTGTAGCACCTGAATCGATAACCTGAGTTTTACCAACTAATCTTACCGACCATGTTTACTTCTGGTCTCTGTATTTTGCTTAACTGTTTTATTAGTTTGGTATATTGTTTGAATGTTATCCCTATTATAATCTATAACTAAAAGTTTGCATCTCTTGGCTTTGCTTTTCCAACATTTTGTTGCTCTCCATTTGTTTTACGTCGGGTAGGTTTCCCACCAATCCGAGTAGACGATTTTCTCGAAGCATCCATCTATAGAATATCCAGTTTTCCCATAATGTTTTCATTTTATCCCTTCTCGATTATTTTTCTTTTCCAAGAACCTGATAGGCGGCAGATTTAACAACAAGTTTTCTTATGGCGTAAATTGTTCACTCATATTCGGTTACTAAGTGAGAAGTAGTTCCTAGGGACAGCATCCGTTTGGTGCTCAAAATTTTTGTTTTGATGATTCCAAAAACGATATTGGTTTGGTGCTTAAAATTTGTGTTTTGGTGATTCCAAAAACATCATCTAACCCCATAAAAAAACTCATATATGTGTTCTTTTTCTTTAGACTCAACCATTCTTTTTACAAGGTTACAAGTGAACATTGGTATTGGTGAAATCAGATTAATTTTGTCTCGGATGCTTCTTAGCTTCGTGAAACAGGCAGAAAGGGATGATTTTTCCTGCCTTAAGTTTGTCAAGGCTCATTTTAACTCATATGCTCACAAGGCACATTCTTTTCCAAATCTCTCTTCGAGGTCACCCTAGATTTCTCGAATGTATTAGCGTATTTATGTTTTTTCAGCTATCTTTTTCCATGGTTGTAATAAGTCACCCCTTTATGATGGCATCACTTTGTTCCCATGCCTTGAATTCTATAGCGGTTTCCAATGATTTTTCAATGGTTCCATTGATAAAGTTTGTCCGATTTTGGCAAGGAGAAAGTCTTTCATCTCCCTTGAACAATCAATGTAGTTACTGTCATTGAGATAATCATTGATGTGCATTTATCGGGGGTAGCCATTAAGGTGCATGTAGAATGATGAGTTTGGATCCAATGAGGGGTTGGTGGTTGCACCCGAGCCACCGGTCATTGTTCCTTCTTTCATCCTAGTTTGGCAGGGTTTAAACTTCGTACTCTGATACCATATAGAAAACAGAGAAAACAAAAGCTATGGGTGCGCTTGGTTGTGGAATATTGTTTTCATTTTTCTAGAAAACATTTTTTAAAAAATAGAGTTGAGTTTTAATTTTTAGTTTTATTGAAATATTTAAAAAAATGTGTTTGGTTGAAACAAGTGGAGTTTTCATTTTTCATTTTACAAATTTAGAAAACTTTAGAATATTGTAAAAATTAATTCTCTAATTTATAGGCGTGTTTGTTTGGATGCATCGGTTTGATCCGATCCAATCAAGTGAATCCATGATCTCGGTTTTCAAAACATGGATCCGAATAGTCCAAACTAAAATCAAATATGATCCGATCCGATCCAATTACAATTCGGTTGGATCGGTTTTTATAACTCGGTTTTCAAAAACCGAAACATTTTAAAATGACATACAATTATAATATTACTCAACTTTACACAAGAAGCGAAAACAAATTATTTAGTTGTGATTTGAAATTTATAAACAACTAATAAGAAGATATATTATAGTTAAATATTTTATATATAGAAAACTTTTGAAAGAAAATGCATATTAATGTTTTTTTATCAGGTGAAACGTTTTGAACCTATTTGAAAAAATAAATTACAAAATTAATAAATAACTATATATATATATATATATATATATATATATATATATAAATAATAAATGTTTATTTAGTTTTTTTGGACTATTCGGTTCTTATTTTATAAACCAAAACCAATCCAAAATAATAATTCGGTTTTGTTGAAAACCAATCCAAAGATCCGATTATCTGAACAAAATAGTTCAATCAAAATTGTCCAATTGGACAATTCAATTTTATCCAAATAGTGACCCGTCCTACTAATTTATACAATTTAGAAAACAAAAAATTTTCATTTTTTTTTTTTTGGATTTTTTTAAACTGAATCAACTAAACACATTTTCAAAATTTTCATGAAAATTTGAAAAACATTCCACAACTAAACACACTAGAAATGGAAAAACATATGAAAAACAATAATTATTAGTTTTCTACAAAATTTAAATTCTTTGTAATTTTAAAAACAAAAAATTAGAAAATTTATTGAACGTCTCAATTTTTTTTTTTTAATTTCTTTCTTAAAAGAGGCTCAATTTTTTTTATAACAAAATGCACCCTAAAGATTTATGGCTTGAATTAAATAAACGGAATACCTAGTGAAGGTATTTAACCAAAATTGAAATAGAAGAAAACTATAACTTGGTAACCAAACTAGATTAGGAAATGTATAAAAGAAATAAAGTAACAGTAACTCTAATAATCCTATTATACTTGGACTCAAATTCCTTCAATATTAAGGTTAAAATTTCAGAATTATAATGCGGATAAATGTCCTATTAAAGTAGAAAATACTTACGTAATTAATCTTATGATTATTTTTAATTATCAGTTTTTTACAGCAACTCAATACATGTCTTTTTAATTTAAAATCAGATTATCATGTCTCTGAAAGAAATTGAAAATCAACATATATTTGTATCAAACTCAAATTTTTCACCTATTACAAATCTCAAATTTACAATTAATCATGCCAAGAACCTAAAGAAATTAAGCACACATACCCATGTTAATATAGAATCTTCAACTCATAATTATTTTAATCAATACCAGCTAGATCAAACACCACAGTTTGACATGGGAACGCCTATATAAAGGATCTATATGATACGAGGTTTCATAGTCAATAAAGTGAAAGAACCCAAAAAAGAAAACATGAGGAGAAGCATATTTGGATTCTTGTTTGTTTCCATTTTAGTAGTTGGCTGCATGGGCGATAATGGGGGGTTGAAGATGAAGTATTACAAGAAGCGATGTTCTTCAGTTTCAGTTGAGACTACAGTAAGGGACATTGTATGGCGCAAAGTTTCTGCAAATCCTGCCATGGCTGCCAAGCTTCTAAGGCTTCATTATCATGACTGCTTTGTTAGGGTAAGTAATTCATCTTCAGTTTTATCTCTTTAGCAACATTTTTTCCCATTATTATAATTCATCAATAGACGAATTATAAAAGTTTCACCAACAGATTGTGTTAAAGTTTTGAACAAATGACCAAAAAATGAAATCGACAAGATGATGGAATAAACAAGACAATAGAATGAATGATTACAAATTTTATATTATATATAAATACAAGTTATAGTTTAACTTTACTTTATACATTATCTAATTAATTAAAAGTAATGTAGGGATGTGATGGTTCGATTCTGTTGGATCCTGTACAAAATAGTACAACAGAAAAAACGGCAGGACCCAACAGATCTGTTTCTGGGTACGATGTGATTGATGAAATAAAGACGACTTTGGAATCCGACTGTCCCGGAATTGTTTCTTGTGCCGATATCCTTGCGTTGGCAGCTAGAGACGCGGTTTCCTTCCAAGTAAGTTATATCATTTTCATATTGAACTATGTGTCAAATTAGATGTTGGATCAAAGATATAGATGACTATTACTCAAATCTTTATAAAGATAATTGCTTAGTACGTTATAATAATATTTCACAACATATATATTATTTATTTTATTATGGAATCAATAGTTTTTCATCGGTATCTGAAATTACAGTTTCAAAAGCAAATGTGGCCGGTTTTCACGGGAAGAAAAGACGGACCGGTGTCGTTGGCATCGGAAGTTGGTGTCAATTTACCATCTGCAGGCGCCAATTTTACAACTCTCGTAACCCAATTTGGAAACAAAGGTCTTGACATCCATGATCTTGTAGCACTTTCCGGTATACAACCTTCCTTCCTAAAGCGCATATATATATATATATATAT